CCCCAAAACCCCAAAACCCCATAAGATTTCACAATGAGTATATATAAGTTTTAAGAAATTAATTTAAATTAATAATTAGGGATCAATTAATTTCTTCACTTTTGACCGTTTAAAGTCAAAAGAAATAGATTTTAAATGATACTAACTAAGTCAATAAAACTTAGGTTTAAGCTTCAATTATGATAAGTTAATCACTGTTTCTATATTTTAATTAACTAGATTAAGGAGTTTCTAATGAACCTCAAGTATTCTTGAATCCTTAGGGCTTTGGTATCCTGCCCTTTAACTTGTACATCAAGCTCATTTCCTCCTTTAGATTATTACTATAATTCATTCTTGCTATTCTCCTAAGCTTTAACATATTTCTTATTGAGTACAGTAAATTTTTCATAAAGATCTTCATATTAGTAATTTGATAAGGATTTTTATCTGTCTCATAATTATTATTAGTTTGAATAGAGAGATAGCATATGTTTCTTTCTTATTCAAACTTAATAGATCTTTTCCTTATACTATACTTTAGATATTTGATAAATTATTTCTATTCCCAATTATAGTCGATTTCTTTGTTTAAAGAATTTCTGAAAATAATAAAATTTGGGAAATATTTAATGGTTTTCAAGTCATCATTTCTATAAAGATTTTCATTCTTGTCAATAAAATTTTCTTTGGCGATGTAAGATTTCAAAACTAATTTCTACATATTTCTTTAATAAAATTCTGAAATAACATCGATTATAAAATTCATGATCATGATAATCCCAATCAGAAGAGCTATTAACCAGATGATCCCAGTATATATTACTACTACCTCAGCTTTCTTATGATAATTATTATGCTGGAAATACCCAGTTGAAATTCCAAAGGACATCAAAATGTATACCAAAATATTTCCTTAATTGAATTCAAAATTTTACAGAATCTTAAAAAAGATTAAGAATATCATTCCTAACTGCAAGTTGAAGATAATAAAGAAAAGCAAGAAGTTTTTGAGAAGTTTAAAGACTTCACTCACCAAATGAACCAACAAGCTGGACCCATCTTATATTCTTAAGAAAAAGAATAGCTTCATAAAATACAAATTTATTACCAGAATTTTTATCAAGATTAGGTGATCTTTGCTTTCACATGAAAATTATAAAATATAAAATCTTGAAAAAGCTAAAAAATCAAAGTTAGCATAGTGTCCTTTTTCTTAAACTTTTATTTAACTTATCTCTTATTTTAAGATATAGAAAAGTACAATAATACATATTATTTATGTTGAAGCTATAGTCCTTATATTTGATTGATAAATTTAAGTATTCTAATTAGCCTTTTAATCTGAACCATGCTCTTCAGCACTAGCAAAAGTTGAAAAGAAAATAACAAAAATGAATGAGAACATAAATATTAAGTAAGCGTAAAACCTGCACTATAAAAATAACTTTGTAAATAAGTTATATTAAAAATTAATGATTCATTTAATGTCTTTAGTTTTAAAAGATTATGGTCTCTCTGTTTCACTTAGAGCATTTTCCAGATCATATATATCAGAACTCAATTATAAGGGTAACTTTATTAAGCGATATCCAATCAACACTATAGAATCATTAGTTTCTATTAACTCCTTTAATTTACTTTTAAATAATTCATCCTATTTCACTTGTAAATCCTAAGAGTGATCTAAGTTTATTAATTGAATCAATTCTAACTCATCTTTGTTATAATCATTGAAAGAGTTCTCCAAAACCACAAAATAAGGTAGATTACTGTCAAAGTCTCCTTATAAGTCTAAATTTTGTTTGATAGGTTCACAAATATTTTTATCAATCAATGAGTTAAAAAATATATAATCTTAGTATTTTTGACTCAGATTTGGAATAAGACTAATATACTTTTGCTAATAAATACTTATAGACACAATTAGAGGTGAATATCCAATATGCTGACTGTGACATGCCTGAATTGGTAAGCTTAGCATATCACTTGTTAAAAATAATTTAATTTTGGCTTCTAGAGTAGCTAAATTATTTTAACGAACTGTAGAATCTCTTCCAAATCTATTTAAATGCTATAGATATTTATCCACTTATAATTACAGCACTTTAATGATTTATTCAATACTCCAACTATTATTTTCTCCATAATCATATATGTCATTAGTAATTTCTACTTTAAAATATCGAACCATTTTTTCCTTTCTTTAATAAATGTCTAAATTTAACTTGAATTCATGAGTATTTTGTTAGCAATACTATAATTGAAACTAGAAAAGAAAAGTTTTATAAATTATTCTTTATAAGACATTTCATCGAATGAACAAAATGTCAGTATATAAATTCTAGATTCTTAACCTTTATCTTTTTCTTCTGCTAATACGAAATATTTTTAATTGATATCTTTGTATTAAGACTATCTTATAAGTATATTATCTAATTATTGGAATAATTTTAAGGAAATAATTTGGTCAATATCTTAATTTTTAAACAATAAAATAATTGTGGCCTCTAATTTTAAATTCATTTGAGTAAGTTTGCTTAT